CTCATCAAAATTTAGCTGTGTATACCAAATTTCATTCATTTATCACAACGCGATTGAGAGATATTACAAAAAAATGATTTCCATTCCTCCCTCTTCAATGGGTCCCTGTGCCTTTAGGAAGCATTTCCGGACCCATGTTCATATGAACTTTTTTACTTAGTTTTGATCATAGAATCGGCCTGTTCAGGGTTGGCAGCTAATTATTAGACACCCTGTATATGTACACAGCAATTTGCAAATCAATATAATATATTTTTGAGGTCTATGGCATAAATACAATAACTTATCTATTATCTACATCTAATAGTATGTCGGTTGTGTTGTGTACGCAGTTACTTGAGAACGACGTGAGGCTATGTAAGCGAGCGCCCTCGCAATCGCTGGTGGAATTGGTGGTGGAGTTGGAATAGCGTCCCCTACGGCGCGGAAACCGTTTTCATCAGCAATGTAGGAAATAGATATCACTCTTCCTTCGGGGGAGGTATAAGTGTAGCCCCCTTGAGCAGCTGTGCCCCCGTTAGGCCCTGCAGGTACTCCTTGTTCTTGGACTGCGATTCCGTTGGCAGTTTCATATCTGTAAGCAGTTTACAATTGAAAAGAATTTTAATTTTGGGAAAATATGTTATAAAAGAAATATTTTTTACGTTACAGAACAATAATAATAATAGAAGAATAATACCAATTATATAAAATCACCCAGGAAGATAGCAATATCTACCACTTTATTATTATATTATTATTAGACTATAGGTTTTTAGTTGTCACAATTGCTGAAGTCATTTCCCCTTATTTATTGGGTATTGTGTGTGTGAAAAGATTAAAAACAATGAAATAAATCCTTACGTTAAAAATAATTAGCCTAGAGTTACCCATTTTTATTAAACTAATTTTGTCTAACCAAAAAGAACCCCGCACAAAACATATGGAAATTGAACACCGATCAATTTTTATGAAACTTCGTATTTTGATAGTTCTCGTCATGCTGATCAAAAGTCTCAATGGGCATGAAGCCCTACAACCCCATCCAACCCCTCAAAACCACCCCCAAAGATCAGGGTAATGAACTTGACAGATTACAGGTCAATTGGCTTACCATAATATTTCACTACTGTAGTTGAACCTACAGACACCTATACCATAACTAGGTTTAAGACCGAGCCTTACAACCCCCACCAACCCCCCAAAACCACCCCCAAAGGTCAGGGGGATGCACTTAACAGATTATGGGTCATTAAGACTACCGAAATATTTTACTACTGCACAGCAAAAAATCTTATGGCATGTTTTGGTACTTTTTGTGTGTTAAAGGGTATTAAACAATAAGATGGGAGTAGGATGGAATTCAAGATTGAATGGTTTCATAAACCGTAAGCAGGGAAATGTCATGTCAGGCTTCAATAAGAACTGGTGTTGGTCCGACCCCAACCGTGGGATTTGGTTTGGGGGTGGGTGGTTCAACTGTCGAGGGTTGGGGTCGGAGAGTATAGAGTAGTGATCGTTTAGGTGGTTGTGAGATGAAACTAAACAGTTATACAATCAGTATGCAGAGAAAAGTCACATGACAGGCTTTGGTAGTTGGTGGGAGGGATGGGGGTTAAGTTTTTTGGAATCTTAAGCCTAGTTTGGGTGGCTGTAGGTTCGACTCCAATAGTAAAATATTTCGGTAGTTTTATTGACCGATAATCTGTCAAGTGCATCCCCCTGACCTTTGGGGGTGGTTTTGGGGGGTTGGTGGGGGTTGTAGGGCTCGGTCTGAAATCCAGTTATGGTATAGATATCTGTAGGTTCGACTACAGTAGTGAAATATTACGGTAAGCCAATTGACCTGTAATCTGTCAAGTTCATTACCCTGATCTTTGGGGGTGGTTTTGAGGGGTTGGAAGGGGTTGTAGGGCTTCGTGCCCATTGAGACTTTTATGCAGCATAACGAGGACTATCAAAATACGAAGTTTCATAAAAATTGACCTATGTTCAATTTCCATATGTTCTGTGCAGGGTTCTTTCATACTGAAAAAACAAACAATTAAAAAATACAAGAGTATGATGTATATTTTTTATTATTTATTACCGCAATTTTCAGTGTAAGATTTTCTATTAAGCAAAAATAGTTTATTAAAAATAACCCTCTAGGGTTTATTTACTTAATACGTTATATCTAATAAATAGAGGAAAAATCACAAACATACATATTCAATAACTTTTTCAAAACCAATATACTTAGTCGGAATTAATGCTTACCGGAATAGAATCTCGATTTAACTTTCTTTTAATATTCCAGTTATTTATATTTTTTCTATATCGGCTTGGTTTCCTTTCTTAATTTTCATGTAAAAAATTGTTGTCCATGTCCATCTTGACTTTCTCATCTCCTACTTGCCTTATATACAAATGTTCATCTTTGCAACCAAAATATAATTTTTTATACAATGGTACCAAACGAAGAGACTATATTTAAAGCAATAAAGTGAAATACAATAATATCAGAAATATACATGTGTCCTAAATTTTTGATGAATGATCTGATCATAATCTCTTATTGGCAACCTACCTAGTAAATTTTGTATGGAAAAAAAAACATTTTTTGGGTTTACAGTGGAGGCGATATTTAAGATCAAATGTAATTTTTGGCTCCATTTTTATAATTTTGAAGAAAATGAAACTAAGTTTTATTTATTAATACCCAAAATAATATTGCAAATCACAAGGTTAACACAAAATTAACACTATTATTATTGAGTGAATGAACTGAAAATTTAATACTCGAAGTAATCACAAAACTAAAACCCTAGGATTCCCGTCTATTGCTTTTAAAGCAGTGTATGTCTTTTTTTGATTTTTTAGATGTTTCTGATTCATGCAATACCACTGCAATTTTTTTGTAGCCTAATTTGAAAGAAAAACAATCCTCAATTAGCCTTTTCATATTTGCCTCAGTGTATTGCTGTGAACTGGTTGACCTTTCATACTTTCACGTAACTGTTTCTAATGAAGTTATATAGTTAATTAAGTATGTACAATAAATTCAGACGATTATTTGAGTGATTCTAAGAAAAAGTTCATATAAACATTGGTAATATATGCGGATTTGTTCCTTTTTACATTATAAAAAGAAACAACAATTATTAAATAATATATTCCATTATTGAAATATTAAAAAAACAAAAGTCAAAATCAGCGGCATTTCAAATTAAAATTCATTTTGAAAATGATCCATTTTTTTCATAAAATAATGTATAACTGTACAACTATTCTAAACAGAAACCTAGTCACTTTGTTTCGTACAAGCAATTTACACTTAAGAAATAAGGTCTCTTTATAATGACACCAACAGATATTTTGTAGAAAAACTGTTTATCAATTAATAAAACTTGTGCATTCGTTATGTGAATGCTTTGACAAAAAACGATTGAATTTATACAATTTTGACTTCAAAAATTGATAAATCAGCCTCGACATAGAAGCATCGTTAAAATACACGAACCACAGTACTTGTGAGTTTAAATAAAACTTTTTAAAATTTGTTTTTCTTTATTTGTCCAGAGTAAAAAAACTGTAATTCCGTTACCTCAGTACTTTTAATCATTTGTTCTTTAGTGATAAAAAGAGAGCACCCTTAAAAATAATGAGATATTCCGTCAATTTAAGTCAAGCGCATTGTCGAGCGCATTGGTATAAATATGCGATATTGTATAGATATACAGGATGTATATAAATAACACCGAAAAATGTAAGGGGCGATTCTCTGAAGAAAATTAATAGGGTTTTTTTGGTATACAATTTTTTGAAAAATCTCTACCATGAAAAGTTATGCCCCTCCAAAAATTATTTTTTTTTTCTTTTTTGGAACATTATCTGAGGTATTTTTGTAAGGGGTTGGAATAATCAATCCCTATGACATTTTCTGTAAAATACACTCGCATCAGACAGCTCATCTTTTTAAAAATGTATATATATTTATTTTTTTCTCATAAGTCCTTAACTTTTGGAAAAAATTTGAAGAAATCAAAAAGTTAGTAAATAAATGGGGCTTTTTAGAAATGTTTTTTAAAAGGAAAAAAAAATTATCAAAAAAGGGGTTGATTATTTCAATCCCTTTGCGAAAATAATTCAGGGTTGGAAAAATCACGAAAAGTGTAGTTTTTTTGGCAGATAATGTTCACCAAGTTTGGTTTCTTTAGCTTGATATACAAGGAAGATAAAACAGAAAAACAATTTATTTTTGAAATTTTTGGAGGAGCATAACTTTTCATGGGAGAGATTTTTCAAAAAATTTTATACCAAAAACCCCTATTAGTTTTCATCAGAGAGTCGCACATTACATTTTTTCGGTGATATTTAGATACACCGTGTACTTATATGGTATGGATATTTTTTATATTTGGTAAAATGAACTCATTAGTTCATCTCGTGGTAAACTTTCATTCTGATTTATAGTATTTAATATTATTACAGGGCGTATCTAAATTAGTGGCCAAATTGTAACACTCGATTTCAATCCATAAATTAAAAAAAAGTATGAGTATACGTTTATAAATGTTTCGTTATTGCTAAAGTTATTAAATTTAGTATTAGTTTTCTTGTCAATTTTGCACAAAATAGAGAGGAATATCTTCCAATTTTTGGTCCTAATTTTTTTTCAAATTGCTCTAAGTATGTATTCTAATTATCAATATTTTCGAATTATCATAATTCTAAAGAGATAGCAGTATGAAGTTATTATATAAATTTTATGAAGCACCTTTTACTCTCGAACACAAACTGTTAGGCAATCAATATGTTTAAATGGTTATTTTTGTTAATACGTGATATAGGATCCATCATTAAAATCTGGCTGAGAAGTTTACCATCTATTCTTCCGCCCTCTAAAAAGTAACACTCCCAATTCCATCACAAGTGTTTGTAACTTTGTCAAGCTCCAAATGCTTGAAATATGTTTTTAGTGTTAAAACGAAGGAAGATTTTTCCTTATAAAATTTGTTATACCTACTACTGCTGATTTTATTTAAGAACCTCTCTCTGGTAACAATGAAACAAAAGTTTCTTTTATTTTTAACTTTCATTCAACATAGATAACCTATTCACATAAATTTTATATGTTTACATTGATTTTTAATATTATTGGAAATAGTTTTGGCTACTTGTAAATTGTTAAATTGAAAGAAACGATACATACCCGTACTGATAACTTCCATCTTCCCTTACGTCTTGATCCTGGCGTAGAATTGGAATCTGAGCATTATGAGACACATACGACTGAATTCTTGGCACAGGGGTCGTAGGGGAGATGATAACTTCTTGGTTGTAATTAGGCACAGCGTATGGTTGGACTGTAAATGGTCGAGGTGTCGAGTGTTGGTAAATGGGATAAACTTGAGCAAACGCTGTTGTAGCGAGTGCAAGAGTTACTACCTGCAAAATAATTCAATAATATTTAATATTGCGGAATATCTGACGGATATTAATTTGACTATAGGGTATTTCGTAACCAAAATTAACAAAATCAGTTCAAACGTAGGTATAGTTCTTTTTTAATATCTCTATAAATTGCTTGAAAAATCAGTGTTTTGGTACATACTCATAGTTATGTCATTTTTTCATATCTACTTGCTGAATAAAGTGTTAACTTTTTTATCTCTTGGAAATTGTAAGTAAGAAGAGTATCATCAAGTAAAAAATTATTAATAAGGATAACATATAAAGAAGATGTCTATATTCACACACAAATAAAGATTTTCAAATGTTGCACATGAATTCGTTTGTATAGAGTATTATGTACCTTAATAATATGTTCTCTTTTTCCTCAGTCAAAAAATTAAAAGACGCGCAAAAACATCTTAACATATTAAAAGACATTGAAAACAAATCTGTAATTTTAAAGTTTAAGTGATAGATTTATCCTTTTTTCAATTCAGTGTAAAATAAGCTTTCAAAAAATTTGTTAAAAATCAGTTTACATTTTGGAAGGAAGAGCAATATATTTTATTGTCGTGTATGACTGATTTCTAAAATTTTAAACGGGAATATAATTCAAGTATACCTCATTTGAACGATATATTCTCTTTTCACACACCCGTATTTTCTATAAGAATCCATCAATTATTTTTCGTTAAAATTAAATTAATTAAAATGGTTTAATTCTTCAATTGGCAAAACTGAGAACAAAAAACATCAAATTCAAGTACTTGTTTTGCAAGACTATCCCAACCACCCTCTTACAGCAGTACAGTCTATTCTAACAACTATTCAGCTAATACATTCATGGGCATTACTTTTGTGTTTCTCTGACGAAAAAATTTAAAAAGCGTAATTTTTTTACACTTAATATGGTATTAAAATTTAATTTTAATCCTTTTTCACGCCTGAAGAGATAATCCATTTTATGTGGTTCGATAAGATCTTTTTCATTTTCACCTCTGAGTGATGTCTGAAGGGTCAACGTCAGTTATTAAATTATCAAAAATTTAAAAATCATATTTTCCACATGCTGTAAATATTTTGATAAGTCCTGTATAAGTTTATAAAGTTTATTTTCTCTAACTTCTATAATTACTTGTTGAGGGAAAGGTTATTTTTGTTTTCAAAATTTTTATTAATTAATTGTCTATAATAATTAGTACGTTATTAATTATTATTATTATGTTGTATTACTATTATTATTAATATGTAGTCACTTAAAATGAGAATAAATTTAATTAATAAATGTAGCACATTAATTGATAAATACTTACAAATTTCAACATACTAACAACTCTACTGTACTGTAATTCTATTGAGATTAGTTTGGATGTGGCGCACAAATTTCGAGTGACTGCCTAATTTTTGTTGTTTCCTTTATATATTAACCAAAAACAGTTTAATAAATATCATTCTGGACTTACCATATTTTCTCCCACACTAATAGGCTCATTGGCGTAGGAAGTGTGCATTTCCGATATTCTTTATTCACATTTCCAGCAGAACTGATTCACTTATAATGCTGAACATGCTTGAAAGAGCACCTTTTAATTTTGTTTTGTGTACACGACTTACAAAATATTTTACAATTATGTGTTAAAGTCACATCCATTCAAGTAAAATGATCCAAAATAAGTGATAAATGATAAAATATATGTTACCTTTATAATTTCTTGTTGTGTTCTGTAATATATGCTACATTGGAATATATATATATATATTTTTGTGGATTGAAGCGTTTGTTTTCGAAGAATTAACAAATGTTGCTAGAAGTCTAGAAATTTTAAATGTAAAAAAATTTATACTTACGTGGATATTTCATTTTTTAATTTCTCTTAAGACTTATTGAAGTCGAAATTAATTGACTTTACCAGTCGCTAGAAATCAGTGGTATATTACACTGATATGTATATGTTATGGACCAGGTGATTAATGCGGGCATTATTAATAACGCGCGAGTATTGTGAATAATGTCTAGCTCTATCGGGCTAAGCGATTAATTACTATCTAAACTTAATTATTTATCACATTGCACGGTCATTATTATATTGCTACGTGACAATTGGGCAGTTTGATAATAATGCTAAATTTGACACGGTGCGGGGAGGGAAGCACGCGTGACACGCTTTGACCAATCAGAGAGCGCCATTCAGCGTTTATTAAGTTTAAAGTGCTGAAAACTATTAGATGCTAATTATGCCAAATAATGAGTCTGATTGCTTAAACTTTAGTTTATTTTATGTTTTATAATAATATGTCAAAACTTCTATAAAACAAAGATATGTTGTGAAATGTTTGTTTTAAATTTTTTTAATATGACTTTCCTTAAGTTTTAAATGCAGAAACTAGTGAATTCTTAATGTAGAAGTCCTTGCTAATTAATCCAAATAATGAGTCTGATTATTTAAATTGTTTAACATTTAGTTTATTTTAAGTTAAATGACAATAATAATAAAAAAAATAGGAATTAAATATGTTTGTATTACTCTGCCCAAAAGGTGATGGACAATATGTATAATGCTCGGTCAATTTGATTATTTGAATAATTATTTTCAAATTGCACACTCATATTGGGCATTTTACATAATGACCGGGCATTATGTATAATGCCCGATTTATCACTTGGTCCATGACATATATACATATCTTACCCCATGAATTGACATTAATATAGGAACGATTTAAAAATGTTACAATTAGACAATTAGAGGAAATATGAAAATTCTAATTTCTCTAGCCCTTGTAAAATGAAATATACGCCGCTCCAGAACACAGCTACTCAATATACATACGTGGAAAGCTGTAAAAATAAATTACTGTATAATTAAGCGTCTTTGACAAGGTCAGTTTGGTCACCTAGAAAAAGAATTTAAATGAAAAAAAATTGCAGACAATATTATTTTAAGCGGATATAAAGACATGTTAACAAATATCAAATGAACTCTCGTCTGAATTCAATGTATGAATAAATCACGTTGTGCAGGAAATTGAGAAAGAAAGGTGATGTTAAGTGCGAGTGTTGATGTCTAAGGTAGTTGATGAATCACACCTACATCCTGTGTAGTCAATTTTACTTGTTATAGGTTATTTAAAATCTTCGACTCAAAATATTTGTTTTGGTTCCGGTTCCATAACGAATTAAAAACTGAAAAAAAAACACGTTAGGTTAAGTATTTCTGAATCATTCAGCATTAAAATCAAATCGAATTTGTAAGAAAGAAATAGCAGATAACAGCAAAATATTCTTTTAGTTTATTACATTTTATCTTATTCAGTTTGTTATTAGATATAGTTATTAAATTATAGATCAGTTTATAGTTTCAAAACCATATACTCGGGTTTCCATATACAAGACTAGATGTAGACTAAATCTTTTCATTTAAGATCCTTAAAGAAATATTCAGTGACTTAGTCAAGAAAGAAATACCGGAAAATATATGTACTACAGACTACTACACATATAAATTTTTATTTAAACAAGAACCACATTACCACAAGTTACAAAATCAACACACATAAGTATATGAAGAAAACAATACAATCTTGAAATAAAAAACGAACTATATTCAAATGTCAGTCAACGAACGATTTTTGAAATCAGTGTTAAATCACATATTATCTAACGGCTAACCCATATGCAAAACACTGAGAGAGAAAGGGCTACTTTGTGCAACACAAATGGAGATACATCCAATTTAAAGGGATTGAACGCATGCGTATTTCCAAACAGAAGAGCTGTGTAACAACGTAAGATGATATTTTCAGTTTACTATTATTTCGGCAATAAAAAGAATAAATATGAAATACAAAACTTTAAGGATATATAAATTTTGTAGAGTAAAATAGAATGTTTGATTATTTTGTCCATAAAATGATGCTACTCGTATGAACGGTTTTTATCTGCGAATTAAATACATTACCGATGAAGCCTGAATACTGCCGAACATGTTTTATCTCCGCGTGGTTTATGTTAGTGACGTTACATATAATTGTATAAAATATTATAATAGCCATTTTGTAAACATTGTTGCCGTTAGCTGTATTGGAGTGCATTAAAAAGTTGTTTACAGTGGATTTATAGTTATTTACTTTTAAAACTTTGGCGTTTTTATTAACAATTATTTGTAGTTACAAAAAATGTCTAAATCAGTATCCGAAATGCAAGAAAGAAAATAAAAACATACATTTTCTTCGGTTTCCTAAAGAAGAACAATTATTGTATAATTATTACTTTTTATATAGGTAATCTTAAATTTCTTATAAAAATTGTTTAAATATTAAATTTTTATAATATAAATTATTCTTTTAAATGTCGATAAAAAATTGTGGACGCCTAGAATTAATAATGCAGGGATAAAACGATTTCAAATTTACGTAACTAGTGTAACCCCTTTTGGAAGTTTACTATCCCTAAAATGATATATTTTCTTTATTCATTACTCAGTTAAATAACAAATTTGATTGATAATTGTATTTGTAACTACCCAGGATATACCATTTATAATTTTTGTAAAGATGTACCTCTTCAGTTCAACATCCCAGTCATAAACTCCTAATATAAAAAATGTAAAATTAAATATGTGTAATTTGTTATTAGGTATATTATTTCAACAAAAAATTAATAAACACTTAGCAATTTTATTTTAATACATTAGTTATCTAATTTATCATCCCGTTTAGACAGACACTTTATCAATTAAGTGAAAATTCTGATAAATGTAGGTGTAAGCATTTTATGTTCATGTTCATTCAATATTTCGAACACTTTCTTCAGATATCAATTTTTATTGCCCAATCTGGCAATGTTTAGCATCCAGTTTAAATGCACAAGGTCAACGGCGGCATCTATGCCTTATCTAAGGAGTGTCGCATATGGGTTAGATATGTGGTTAAAGATGGTTACAGCATATTTGTTTACATATGACATACATATAACATATACCACTGAAAGCTTTGAAGTTTGCAAGCTCTAAATAAATAAGGTATTTGAACACCGTATTGTAAATTTTCCGGTTTTTAAGCAAATCCAAATATTGCACCTAATTTGTTTTTCTCGAAATTATCCAGAATCACGTACAATACTTATAATGTTTTCATATGTAACAGAATTAAAGTAGTAATAAGGCTGTAAAAGCTACGGGTATCACAGAAAATCGTTTACTGTACATGCCTTCAAGGTCAGGTCTGTCTTAATAATTTTTGAAAATTTCTATAAAGAAATTTAAATAAAATCACAATAACGTGGTAACACATATATAGTACAGGTACAGAGTAAGTTATAATTAGGTGTAACAAATTTAACCGGAACTTATCTCAAAACAAAATAATTAATCAAATCTTTATTTCAAAATGCCTCCTTACAAAGATATAGGGTGTTGAAGTTCAAATAAAATTAGTATTTATTTAATATTTCCAAAACGACTTAACAAATTGTTTTCCATAAAAAGATATCTAGTGAATTTAAGTCGGGACTTCTTGGAGAACATATTATAGGACCAAATCGACCAATCTATCTACCATCAAAACGATTAATTACTCTGTAACGAATCTGCTATTGTGAGGAAGTGCACCATTGTGTTGGAAGAACAATATTTAACGGGATGTTTTCTAGTACATCATGCAGAGGATAGTATTGGAGAGAGTCCTTGTAACCATTTGCGTTGATGTGATTCTTGCAATTCCAGTAAAGTACTATTGCAGATTGCTCCCCATATATTGACACAAAATCGTTGCTGGAATCTTCTTTTAACTTATGGGTTATCTAATGATGCAAGTTTCGAAAAAATATAATTAGGATTGTCAGTTATTCTTCTAATAAGCCACTGAGAAGAATGTATACTATGTTCGACATCCCCAAGATGTTTGAACACCTGTATGTAATGGTGAAATATCTCCTTGCGTAGAGTTCGGGAAACAAAACTTGAAACGTGAAAATTCTAACTGCATAGAAATTCGACGCGTACTTGCAGTAGAATTATCTAGGGCTACATCAATTGGAACTGCAACATTAGGTATGTCTCTTGTGTTGCCCCAACCGCTTGTGCTTTCGAAATGCCAAGCCCATCCAGTAAATGAATTTTTAAACAGTTGTGGTGATTACACGTCACTTACTTCTAGTATTCTAGTGGTGCCTAAGGAGAGTAGCAAATGACAGTAACATTTGCTACAACAAATTTCAAAACAAGAACTACTAGGTATTAAGAAAATACTATTATTTGAACTATGAACTTCAACACCCCGTATATTTGTGAGGAAGCATTTTGGAACAAAGATTTTGATAATTTGATCAATTATTTTGTTTTGGCGTGAAATTTCGGTTAAATTTGTAAAACCTAATAATGACTCACCCTGTA